CCCCAAAACCCCAAAACCCCAAAACCCCAAATCTCCCCAAAAATTGTCAAACCAATCTTACACCAAATGTTCAAAAATAAACCCAAAACTCATCCCCCTCTCCTCAACATACCCACTGATCGTCTCCTGAACTTGCTCCAACATCTTCTTTAGCTTTGGAGAGTAGTGGGTGTGGAGGTCAGAGTTGTCGAGTAGGGATAAATGGATTGATTCTAGAGAAGAAGTGATAGAAGATTCTTCAAGCATGTTGATGAATGCGATGGTTACTGTGTATAAGCTTTGGCAGTCACGAGAGAATCTGGTTTTACCTTGAGGTAGGTAAGCCATGTTTTCTTTGAGGTATATCTTTTTAATACTGGATGAGGAGACAATTGGGTAAACTGATTTAGTTGTATCTCCGTCAGCTATCATATTTTCAAGAGTGATTATTTCATGGTCCTTAATTCTTTTTAATATTCCATAAACTTCTAACATAGGAGGAATGTTGTCAAATTGTATTGTAATTTTACATTCTTTTATAGCAAGCAGCTTTGATAAAACATTTCTTAAATATCTTGTATCAAAGAATTTTTTATTTATTTTTATAGTTTCAAAAGGAATTTTTGGAAATTCTGACAATAGGCTATCTTCATAATTCTGACAAATATGATCAATAAAATTCACCACACGATCAAATTCTTTATTTTGAGTCGTTGAATAACCCATCTTCTCCCCAAAAGACCTCAAATACAACGATCTAAAAGTCGGAAGGTCTGAATTATCTTTCATAATACTCTCTAAAATCGGCAAAACATAAAACCCTCCATCAAAAGCCAAAGGCAGGTCAAACCCACTCGGCAAGTACGCCTCCTTATCATAATACCTCCTAATCTGCTGCATAATCTCCCATCCTCTTCCAAGCGTCAGCTTCTGCAACTCCCTAAACTCCTTCTCCCTCTTCTCATAATACTCCTTAGTCTCTCTTCACAACAACTTCATCAGCCACTGCCACTGATCAATGTACCCCACAAAGACCAAAATTTCAAATCAGCTGCCTCTCTTTGTGAACAAGCCCTTGGTCAGGGAACATTTCTTCTGTGAGTAAGTTTCCATTTGGATTTTTGAGAAAATTTATAAACCTCAGTTCTGGAATAAGGATTTGGGGTTTTGGGGTTTTGGGGTTTTGGGGTTTTGGGG